TTCAGTCCCCTGACTTTCCTGCAAGGCTGTGAGCCCTCAGAGGGGAAAGCTGAATCTTTCTCACTTAGCCCAGAGCTGGAAGCACCTAGCATGGCGGTTCACACCCCTCAGAATCCAATAACACGTGCTGAATGAATGCATACATGCCTGACCCCAAGTTCAGATCCTGCTCTGATTGGCCCTAAGTCTGAAGTCCTGCACCATGAATTATAGTATTGGCCCCATTGGAGTGAGTTGATTTGAAAAACAGTCATAAATTCTTTGACACTCTTTCCATTGGGTCAGTGTCCAAATCTGAGGGGCTTTTAACTCCTCCAGCCAATGGAGTTTGTCGTGACGCTATGTGACCCTGAGGTTGGGTCACAAAAGGTCATAAGACTTCCACCTCACTCTGGAACACTTGCTGCCTGTTGTCCCAAGGGGACCACATGAAGGCACTCTGGCCAACAGCCCTACCAGGGTCCCCAGTGAAGAGGCTGTCCTGGAAGTGGATCCTCTCACCCTAGATGACCCAAACCCACTCATCGAGTCTTCCCAGGTGAGGCTCAAACATGGCACAGTAACGGGCCAGCCAAGTCGTGTTGGTTCCATAGCCATAGATGGAACATGAAGGAAAACCTTATGCTCACGTTGACTTAAGTGCTGTGTTGACAGCTTATCTGCCTTACCAGAATGTAAGCTTTCTGAGTCCGGGAATTTTTGCTTCCTTTGTTCAAAGCTGTATTTCCGGCACCTAGGAGAGGACATGACATATAGTAGCTGCTCAATGACTGTTTATGAAATGAATGAAGTTTTAAACATAGAAATAGAGAAGCAGGAGAAAAACAAACAAACAAACAAACAAAAACCAGCTCTTAGCTTCTGGCCAAAGCTAGGAGGGAAGCATGAAGCTTGTAAGATCCCCAACGATAGCATGATAAAACCACACTGATGCTTCAGGAAAGCCTGGATCTTTCTGAAACAATTGACTGCAATCACTGTTACTCTTGTCTTACCCTTCTCCATCATCTTCCTAGAGAGTAAGAGATTTTTTCCATGATTTGGTTTATGTCTTACCTTATTCCTTGCCAAGCCTGGAAGATCCTAGAAACTCTTCGTTGCTCCAGAAATATTTAGTGAATGAGATCTCATGCATCCCAAACCACAGAGCCAAGTTTTATATCCGTGAGTGTAATACAAAACTGAGCTCTTAATTTGGAAAGGAAAGAATCAGCTACTTAATATGCAACGTCAGCAGCCTTGTAGATTTTATGGTTCCAAACAGAACTGCGTGTCCCCAAGCCCAGTCGATTTCCTGTTTGTTATCACATTAGACCTATTTCAAGGCAGATGGAAAATTTGAAGGACATCTCCAGCTATTAAGACTGGCATAAATCTTTTAGGACTGCATATAAATACATAATACTTCCCATTAGCATTTTTTTGAAATTAGGGTCCCCATAATTTCTTGATTAAGCAGGAGCTCTTTTCTCATGTAATTCTGTTCCTTTCAGTTGATAATTGGGCTCCCAAAATCTATAGGGCTTGGTAGGAACCCCTGTTGATGGCAATCCTGCTTTTAAGACAGGCTTTGTTTAAAATTCCATACAAAGATCTTTGTTGGTCCCCTCTTTGACCTTCACGCTGTCTGCATTTTTTTTTTTAAACATTCTTCTTCTATTTTTTAAGTTTATCTTTTCTCCTGGCTGAGCTTGTAGTATGCAGGATCTTAGTTCCTTAACTACGCTCGAACTCATGCCCTCGGCACTGAAAATGGGGAATCCTCACCCCTGGACTCCCAGGGAGGCCCCCGCCTGAATTTTTTTAACGTTCTATCTCGTATTAGGGTATAGCTGATTAACAGTGTTGTCATACTTTCAGTATGTATCCATTCTCCCCCAAACTCCCCTCCCATCCTGGCTGCCACATAACATTGAGCAGAGTTCCGTGTGCTATACAGTAGGTCTTTGTTGGTTATCTATTTTAAATATAGCAATGGGTACCTGTCCATCCCAAACTCCCTGACCATCCCTTTCTCCCACTTCCCACCCCCCAACTCGCAACCACAAGTTTGGAGAACTATTTTGAATTAAAAGAAGATAACAGCTATAGTATAAGTATACAACAAGCCAACAACGAAAGGCATATGACATTTGATGGCCTGTTTCCATGTACTTTTTTTAAGAAGGAGAGTTTCCAGTCTGACAACCACTCTGGTTGTTACTCACAGAGAAAGCTTGAGGCCAGGGAGGGAAGTACAGAGATCCTCCCACTAGAGTAGGACTGTGTCCAAGTGTGGCCCTGTATGAGGTCTAGGAGATGGGAAACAGATTGGGGGAGCACTGATCCCCCAGAAGTGGGAGCCCAAGAGTTTGTTCCCCATTCTCTTAGAGCATTTTGTCCTTCCTCTCCTTTTATCCATCACCATTATCGCAATCCGACTTGCCGCTACCATTATGAACTGCGCCCTCTTGTGATAGGTGCCACGCACTACACTTCGCATAAGCTTCACAGCTTTCTGGTCCCCTCGACACAGGGGATTTTTGCAAACCCGGCCAGGACTTCCACTGACAAAGCCTGTTGGTGTCGTCTCGAAAATTTTACAAATTAGCACCCATTTAAAAGGGAGTCTGAAGTCAAGATTTTTTAAACAGTGGCTGTTCTTCCGTTGAGGAAGAAAGATAAAGTATTCTTTTCATATTTTTTCCCAAATTGACTTTTCAAAAGAAAAATCAAGACACCACTAAGTTCTCTTAATAAATAATACAATGTCTTACTTGTGTTAGATTATCTAGTCTTTCAGTATTCTTCTTAGGGAGCTTTTAGTACGGATATAATATTTCATATAAAATATGGGAATGATAATAAAATTAGGCTCAAAGAAATTAATAATGAGTCAAATAGCAATAAGAATGTGGCCCAAAAACCATCTTCAAGGGAACAATAATTTCTTCGGGTCTCTGTACTTAACCTTGAACTTCATCACAACTACATGAGATAGATGTTATTAACAGCTCCATTTTCCTAAAGAGGAAAATGAACATGCCCGAATGTTCATAGCCTCACCAATTCCACTTCGGCAGAAAGTGCCCACGTTGGGATTGAAGCCTACGTCTTCAAACACTGAAACTTCAAACACTGCCCTCCTAGGAAACACCTGAGTTTTAGCAGCCATGTTATAGTCATATCACCTGGGGAACACATTCTCTCATCGTGAAGAAGAAATTTCTGGTTATGGAAGCTCCATCTTCTGAGATTTGGAGAAAAATCTGAATCTTTGCTCAGCCATTTTTCTCTGCCTTTGGGCAACCCATCTACATCTGTGTAGAGCTGACCTCAGTGAGCAGTGGTAAGAATTAAACGAGGTGCCGAAGGAACGGTACCTGATAGCAGAGGGCTTCCCAAGGAGTATGCACTGATTATTCAGCATTCAGATTCCTTAGAAGGCTACGGGCTGGAGATATTCAAGTAGAGACCAAAGGACTTGGCTATAGATCGAACTGGATTCACAGTTTATTAGCTAGGTTCATGACCTTTTAGTGGAAGGTAGAATATCTGTAGTGGGCTCATGTTATGAGCTGAATTGTACCCCCCGCCCCGGAATTCGAATGTTGGCACCCTAACCTGTAGGACCTCGTGTGTGACTGTATCAGGGGACAGGGCCTTGAAAGAGGTGATTAAGTTAAATGAAGCTGTTAGGATGGGCCCTAATCCAATATGACCAGTGTCCTCATAAAAAGAGGAAATTTGGACACATAAAGAGATACGAGGAGTTGGCACACATAGGCAAGAGAACGTGTGAAGCCACAGAGAGTGGCACCAGAAGAAATCAACCCTGCCAACAGGTTGGTCTTGGACTTCCGGCTCCAGGACTATGAAAAAACAAATCTCTGTCCTTTAAGCCAGCCAATCTGTGGCATTTTGTTTTGGCACTGCTGGCAGACAAATACAGCTTGCAATCAGCATTTTTATAAGCTATAGAATAGCAGATATCAGAAGGTATATTCAGTCAGACTAGCACTGTTTAAGAACTGTTCATTTCAGTGGATTATGTGTATGTTATATTACCTGGTTGCAATGTAATGTTAGTCACTAGGTCGTGTCCGACTCTTTGCAACCCCATAGAATGTAGCCTGCCAGGCTCTCCTCTGACCATGGCATTCTCCAGGCAAGAATGCTGGCGTGGGTTGCCATTTCCTTGCTTCAGGGGATCTTCCCGACTCAGGGATCAAACTGGGATCTCCTGCATTGCAGGCAGATTCTTTACTGTCTCAGCCACCAGACAGGTAGTATATTACGTGGTCTGGTTGTAATATAAACGTGGGTCACTATCACCAAGGATGGAGTAACACTGAACTTAACACCCAGAAGTTCTCTTCTAATTCAGACATCACGACTCGATGGGCGTGAGTTTGAGTAAACTCCGGGAGTTTGTGATGGACAGGGAGGCCTGGCATGCTGCGATTCATGGGGTGGCAAAGAGTCGGACACGACTGAGCGACTGAACTGAACGGAACTGAGTAATTACTATTATCATAATTAACATGTTAATATTCATAGTGTATCAGTTAATATGGATTAATTGCCTCTAAGTACCAAAGGTTTGCAAACGTTAACTCCCTTACTCCTAAAACATCCCTTTAAGATAATCATTATTCCTATTTTACAGATGAAGTAGAGACATTGAATATTTAACCGATCCAGGGTCAAACACTTGGCATTTTTCAGAGAAAGGATTCCTGCCCAGAGAAGCCTGTTTCAAAAGCCTGCATTCACTGTAGTCAGCATTACGGGGCAGCTGCCCATAATCTTCTGTCCAGTTACTTAGCACCCAGGCATCAGCTTCCCCTCTGCAAAGTGTTCAGTGATGGAAATTCAGAAGACCTTGGACTTCATGGGCTCCGTGCACGTGACTGACTGTGGGTACAATGGACCTTTTATGATGACAGTAAGAACCGGGAGCGCTCCTCCACTTGGCATGGAGCTTTTCTCACTGTCAACTAGGTAAACGGAGTCTCCTGATGTCTGTGGGGGCGGATAATGAAGCACAACCGTCTACTCCATCAAGAGCAGAAGGAGGTGAGAAAAGGGCCCTAGAACTCCTTGTCTGAAGACCCTGTGAATAGCACGCCGCCCTCCTGCGCCAACAGGCTCCAGGCCAGACACTCTTGAAAGCAGGTACATGGGCTCATTAGCAGGGAAATGGCAGCGGGTAATTGGAATATGTAAATGGCATGGGCAAACAGGGTGCTTTAACAATCAAGACCTGAAGAGAAAGAGCTTAATTTGATGGAGAGGAAGGAACAGACTGCCCAGGGAGCCAATTACTGGAGCCAGAGGATGAATGCTCAGCTTAGCAGGGGCCCCACAGTCAGGAGGGAGGGAGGCTGGGACATTGGGTGGGTGTGCTTCTGCCTCTAAAATGCCAAGTGACCTGGTGACGCAGCCCTGCCTTTTTCCAGATGCCAATTCTTGAGAACTCTTTTTGCTAAATACCTCTTGCTGCCATCCCCTCTCCTCTCCGGGGCCTCCACCTCTTTTCTTCTGGACCTCAGCATCTCAGATGGGCTCCACCAACAGTCTTCTTACTGCTCCTGGAGAATTAATTCCTCCCACTCCCAACCTTTCTTCCACAGAGTCCTCACAAAGCCTTTTGTGCAATTACCTGGGATCACATGAGCCTAGGCTTAAAGCACCTCTCGGTCCCCCAGTTTATAAGCCTGGTGCACATGCGAGCCTGCCCTGCAGAGACCCTGCTCCATTTATGCTCACTTCAAGCCATCGGAACCTCTTGCCCTAGAAACTCCATACCATGTCTTGACAGAGCCTGTGCATATGCTGGGCCTTCCACCTGGCACAGAATTCTCAGCGAGTAATACAACTTAGGAGTTGGAAGTATAAACTCTAGATAACCTGAACTTGAATTTTGGGACCAACATTTTTTGCTGTGTAACTTTGAACAGAGTACTTAACTTCTCTGTCATTTCATCATAGTTAATAGAGATTAAGCCTCTCTCATAACTTTGTTGCTGGGATTAAATAAGATAAACCCAGTGCCAGGCATACAGCAAGCACTCAATAAATGTAAATAATGATGATGATGGCAATGGTTGTCTATCATGAACCAGGTTATTGAAAAGCCATGATGAAATAGAGATGAGTGAATTGTTTTGCATAGCTTGTCTTATCTTTTCATCTAAACATGGAATTCATTACTCAACTTTCTTTTCTTTTTTCCTCCTGTTTCCCACAGGTAGAGAGCAATACATGAAACAGGCAATCAATAAATGTTCACTGGAAAGATAAATGAATGAATTCATTAGATGGATGAATTGACTATTTTACACAATATAATTCAGTTCAGTTTAGTCGCTCAGTCATGTCCAACTCTTTGCGACCCCATGGACTGCAGCATGCCAGGCTTCCCTGTCCATCACCAACTCCCAGAGCTTACTCAAACTCATGTCCATTGAGTCAGTCATGCCATCCAACCATCTCATCCTCTGTCATCCCCTTCTCCACCTGCCCTCAATCTTTCCCGGCATCAGGGTCTTTTCCAATGAGTCTGTTCTTCGCATCAGGTGGCCAAAGTATGGGAGTTTCAGCTTCAGCATTAGTTATTCCAATGAATATTCAGGACTGATCTCCTTTGGGATGGACTGGTTGGATCTCCTTGCAGTCCAAGGGCTCTCAAGAGTCTTCTCCAACACCACAGTTCAAAAGCATCAATTCTTCAGTGCTCAGCTTTCTTTATAGTCCAACTTTCACATCCATACATGACTAAAGGAAAATTATATACAATTATTTAAAAGAAAAAGTCAAAATGACATGCAGGAACATGCAAAGTAAGTTTAAAGGTTAACGTAAGAATGGCAAAGGCAAGACAGGAAAAAGAAATATGCTTTCTCCCTGAGAACCACCAAAACTAAACCCTTTGGTTCTTGCCACCTGGGTTGAAGCTGAGTACCTTTTGGCTCAAAGCTCAAATCATCTCTCCTGATTTGAGTTGCCTTCTACAGACATGTGTCCAAATACCTTTAAGTAACGTGAACAGTTACTCAAACTGGCTTCCCTGATAGCTCAGTTGGTAAAGAATCCACATGCAATGCAGGAGATCCTGGTTTGATTCCTGGCTCAGGAAGATTCTCTGGAGAAGAGACAGACTACCCACTCCATATTTTTGGGCTTCCCTTGTTGCTCAGCTGGTAAAGAATTCACCTGCAATGTGGAAGACCTGGGTTCAATCCCTGGAATGGGAAGATCCCCTGGAGAAGGGAAAGGCTACCCACTCCAGTATTCTGGCCTGGAGAATTCCATGGACTACAGTCCGTGGGATCGAAAAGAGTCGGACACGACTGAGCACCTTTCACTTTCACTTTGAACGTGAGCAGTACATCACAGGCTACAAAGTTCTGCCTTATCATGGGCCCCTGAATGGTGTTCAGACCACTTTGCAGATGAGGAAACTGAGGCCTGATGAGCTCAGCAGCTAGCCCAAGGTCACTAAGCTCAGAGTCAGAGCTGGGACTGGAATTTGAGTCCAGGTCTAAGCTCCGCACTTTAAGCTGCCCTCGGCCTCTGGGTGAAGGTGCAGTGGTGTCCTGTCGCCACTCTCACCTTATTCACTCCCAGGAAGTCTCCTCACTTGCAAGGAAGCCCTCATGTAGAGTGGCCTGAAGTTTGGGAGAAGGAAAACAAAGGCATGGAGGAAGGGAAGAGGGCAGCACATCTGAGGATTTGCTGTAGCTGGGTTTTCAAGAACAAAAATACATATAGGGAAGGCGTGGGATCCTTCCTTTTCAAACACATTTCCTCTTGGCCTGAGGTTGTTACAAGACCTAAAATTGGAGCTTGTCCTGTCTCTTCCAAAAAAAGCAGTGTCTCCTTAGCTGCAAAGACCTGTCTCACTGGCTCCTCCCAGAGGTAGAGTTGTAACAGGCAAGGGGGGCATGCAGGATCTGATTAGAAGCAGCTTTATGAAGGATTCTGTGAGAGTGAATAATATGTGTTCAGTCCATGGAAGGTAATGTCGACAGAAACATAATCGGTATGGGAGGCAATTCCGTATCCAGGAGATGTGTCTGTTCCAGTGAGGTTACATCATCCCACCCACAATTAGAAGGTCTAGTGCAATTGACCTGCCATCAGGTGGCTGGCTGGGGGAGAGGGGAAAGGGGAAGGGGAGGGTGCCCTATTGGGGGCTGTTAGGGACTGAGCGTTGATCTTCGCTGCAGTAGTGTTAGTCACCGCCAGAATATTAACACAGGCTACTTTCGGGTGCAAGATGACAAATTATTATCATTGCCTTTTTGTTGACCTATATTTAATAACTTATGTACAACTATATGTATTTCTTGTGCAATAAAGAAAAGTAATAATATAAATGAAAGTAATAAAAATAAAGTAAATTCTAACATGGTCTAAAACACAGGTGTTTTGGGAGCTGGGTGAGAAGGGAGGCAGGGGCTCCCACTCGCCTGCTCCTGTGACCCTGAGATCCTGCCCTGCTCTTTGGATCACAGTCACAGGCTCCCCTGGTGGCTCAGTCAGTAAAAACAATCTGCCTGCAATGCAGAAGATTGCCTACAATGCAGGAGATCAGGGTTCGATCCCTGGGTCAGGCAGATTCCCTGGAGAAGGAAATGGCAAACCTTGCCTGGGAAATCCCATGGACAGAGGAGCCTGGCAGGTTACAGTCCATGCAGTCGCAAGAGTCACACACAACTTAGCGATAAACCACCACCACCGCGATTGTAGCCATCACAGGAAGTGCTGTCATCTCCTGCAAGCACACTTCTGTTCATTTTGTTACTACATGCCTAACCCTGGGAAGAAGGATTTACAGAGGCAGAAGTTGAGGTTCAGAGAAGGTCTCTTAATCTCTCTCCCTCTCTTTCATTATTTATTTTCAGCAAGGCTCCCTGTCTACAAAGGGGAAAGAATTCACTGGCCGTACAGAACAGTGACATGAAGACCAGGAGAGGTGAAAACAAAAGCAAAATAATGGAGTGGGGATACAGAGAGGAAAATGTAAGAACTAGGAAGTGACTGGGTTTTCAAGGTAACAAATCATGCAAAGCCAGGAGGTGGTGCCCTACTTGCACCACGGACCCTGTCCAACCCTTGAGGATACTCTATCACTGAACTACCAGCATCCGGTTGATACCTGAGGCTCTTGGGACTTCAGGGTTCAAAAACAATCGCTTCCAGTGGGATGTAGGATGCTTTGCTTGATTCCCATTAGTTGGAATCTGTGCTATTGAGGGTTGAGATTACACACTTTCCCAAATAGCACTCACATCGCACCCAGATTTTTTGTGATATTTCCAAACTCCCTATCAGAACAACACTCTTCATTGAATTAGAAAACCGTTGAAGCAAATCAATTTCCAAACTCCCTTGCAATTTCCCTATCGTTAGATTTAATTGGATCAAAATTATGCATTTAATATTGAGTTTACTTCCCCCTTTTGGGGCAGCACGAATATAGTCCTTGGGCTTGATCTTAAAGCATTAATATTTGACAGTCCGCAGCTCTTATCAAAATAGGAGTCTTTTCAAGTGCCTGAGGTTCAAGCTGTCATTTTGCAAATCTGAGCTTTTGATTAATTGTACAGTAATGAATTCTGACATCTTTTTCCTATGTGGTTCTTGACTGCCTTTTTATGCTTATCTAGGGAGGCTTTTTAAGTGTTGACAAATTTTTTTTGTCACTATGTTACTAAAGTTGCAAGAGAACTAACATTTCCTAAGATTAAAGACTTCCATAATGGTAAAAGACAAAAACAAAAATCTCAGACCCGGACATACAGTTCAGTTCAGTTCAGTCGCTCAGTCGTGTCCGACTCTTTGCGACCCCTTGAACCACAGCAAGCCAGGCCTCCCTGTCCATCACCAACTCCCGGAGTCCACCCAAACTCATTTCCATTGAGTCGGTGATGCCATCCAACCATCTCATCTTTTGTTATCACCTTCTTCTCCTGCCCTCAATTTTTCCCAGCATCAGGGTCTCAGACATACAGTGAATGCTTCATTAGGTGCCAGCCATTGTTCTGGGGTCTTTTCATTCTGCATTCATTTATTCATCATTATCTCACGCTGGCAATAAGTATTGAGAGGTTACTATTATAAATAACAGGCATCCTTCTAGGATGCTGACCACTTGCATTTGTTTAGAGACAGAATAGTAAACAAAATGCAAATATGACCATTTCAGGCAGTGATAAATGTAATGAGTAAGTAAAACAGAAAGGGATTGGGAGAGAAGGGTAACTTTATAAAAGGTGCTTAAATACAGAGGGCAGAATTTTTCTAGGTAGCTGGGATTGGGCTGGGGCAGACAGTACAGGCATGTGTTGGTATTTGGGGGGTGGAGGGTAACAGATGTCAGGGAGCCCAGTTCAGGTGTCCCCCCTTCTGTTTGGGACTTTTCTCACCAGAGGCGATTCCCTTTCTCCATACTTCTCCTCCTTCCCAGGGTTTGCACTGACTGGTTACTTACACGTTCCAACTCATTGTTGAGCATCCATCTATTCATAAACTTTCATGGGGGCTTTGCCACTCATGGAGTCCTGTTTCCATCTACCAGTTCATGCAGTCCTTACAAAGCTCACCCCATAGCCCACTGACCAAGGTACAGTTTTTCTTCACTGGGTTTTCATGACTTATTTCATATAAAATTCTCATATGAGAGACACTTTCTGGACAAACTATTCTGTTGCACCAAGCAGTTTATTTTTGTGCTGGTATAACACCATTTTAAGGACTTCAGCCTTGCTGTATAGCTAAACTCCCCTTTTTCTAAACTCCCTTCTTGAAACTCCAGCCTTCTTGGTTCCAAGAATTCTGGGGCTCTTCCCTCTGACAGTCATTCATACAGGTCCCCCCTGCCCCTTCCTCACCCCACATGTCCACTCCGTTTTCTTGCTGCCCCTCCCCCAACTCTTCTCTCCTCCCCCCTCCCTTCACCCTTCCCTCATCCTTTCTCCTTTTCCCCATTTTCTCTCTCCTCCAGGCTCCTGCCCTTCTCTCTCTTTCACTCTCCTTTGCTCCAAGTGAATCCAGAGCCACAATCCACCTGCAGGCCTTCTGATCACTCCATTCTTTTTTGTTTGTTTGTTGTTGTTTTTAAAAATTTCATTATTTATTTATTTTTTCGCCAATTATTTTTATTAGTTGGAGGCTAATTGCTTTACAATATCCTAGTGGTTTTTGCCATACATTGACATGAATCAGCCATGGATTTACATATGTTCCCCATCCTGATCCCCCCTCCCGCCTCCCTCCCCATCCCATGCCTCTGGGTCTTCCCAGTGCACCAGCCCTGAGCACTTGTCTCATGCATCCAACCTGGACTGGTGAGCTGTTTCACACTTGATAATATACATGTTTTGATGCTGTTCTCTCAAATCATACCACCCTCGGCTTCTCCCATAGAGTCCAAAAGTCTGTTCTATACATCTGTGTCTCTTTTTCTGTCTTGCATATAGGGTTACCCTTACATCTGATCACTCCATTCTATACCCTAGGGGTAGATTCTAGGCTTGACCTTGCTCACAGCCCCTCCCCTCCACCCAGGCCTGCTTACCGGAGAGAAAGAGTGAAAAGCAAAGGAGGCTCCAGGTACTTCCCAGGGGGCGCTAGTGGTAAAGAACTCGCCTGCCAATGCAGGAGACTCAGGAGACACTGGTTGGATCCCTGGGTCAGGAAGATCCCCGGGAGGAGGGCACGGCAACACACTCCAGTATTCTTGCCTGGAGAATCCCCATGGACAGAGGAGCCTGGTGGGCTACAGTCCATGGGGTCACAGAGTCGGACACTACTGAACTGGCTTAGCACGCAGCACAAGATAGCAGGACAGCAGGAATGACGGGTTTCCTTAACGGTGGTGGGCAAGGTGGAAGGGAGGGAGGGAGTCAGGTTCAAAGGGCAAGACCCTAGAGAATTAACAAGATCTAGTCCGCCCCCCACCCCTCCCCAACTGAGGCCTCACCTTCCTCTTCTCTCCCTGGAGCTCAAGAAGTTCCAGCCGCCCTTCACCTTTGCACTTACTGTTCTGCTGCCTGGAAGGCGCTTCTGGACATTAACGTAGTTGCTCCAGCTTGCTATTACATCTCGCCTCCAAAACATCACCTCCACGGTGAGGCCTCCCAGAGGCAGACAATTTAAAGAAGTTCCCCGCTTCTAGCCCTGCATGCCTATTTTCTTTCCTCCTTGAATTACCAGCAGAGGAAATTATGCCGTTCCCGTGTGTTTCGCCGTTATTGTTTTCCACCTTTCGAGAAGGCGAGCTCTCTGAGTTCGTGAGGACCTCACGTGGGTTTAGTCACTGACTGAATGAGCAGAAACTCAGACAAGAGGGGGAAGGACCTGCCAAGAGCACAAGTGAGGAGCGAAGCCGATTCCCCGTGTCCTATTTCTTCGCCCTCTGCTCACGCTAGCTGGTGGAGGTGCCACTCAAGGGCCAGGGGCGTGAGGGCGGAACGAACCACGAATGGAGAGCTACGAGTATCGTTGCCCCCAGGAGGGATGGGTCCCCGGTGCGCTCCGCCTTGGCCAACCCAGCAACTTGGATTTTACTTCCCAAGCCAAGAAGCCGGGTTGGGAGGTGACCAGAAAAATCTGAAGATGCAAGAACGGGAAAAAAAAGACCAAGACCCCCTCCCACCCACCCAGTGCCTCCTCCTCTTTTCGTCTTTTCGCCCCACGCCCAGATCGGGGAAAGCCCCAACGCCCACGGGAGCGCGGGGAGTCCCGCACCGCGGCCGCAGCTGCGCGCACGGGCGATCCCGGGCCGCGGGGAGCGCGGCGTGGGGGCGCAGGGAGGGGCGGGGCGCCGCCGTGGGCCTCCGGCCGCGACGGGGCGGGACAATGGGGCCCCACCCCGGCGAGGGCGGGAGGGAGGCGGCGTGCGCTCGGCCCACCGCGCTCGCGCTCGCCGATGCTGCCGCCGCCGGAGCGAGGCTGAGGCTGGAGCGGGCGGGGAGGGGCGCGGGGGGGGAGCGCGGAGGCGGGAGGAGGCGGCGGCGGCGGCGGCGCGTGTGGCGGGCGGGAGGGAGGGCGGCTGGCCCCGGGCTTGTAAATAAACTGCGATGCTGTCTCGGGCTCGCCGGCCCGGGTGCCGCCGCCGCCGCCGCCGCCCGGGAGCGCCGGTGCCGGGCCCCCGCCGCCGCGCGCCCTAGCGCCTCCGCGCCAGCCTCGGGCGCCCTCGCCCGCTTCCCGCAGCCCCCGACCCGCGCCCCTCGGGGTCCCGCGGCGGAACCGCGCGGGATGTGACCCTTTCCCCCTGCCCCCCGGGGCCCCGCCTTAGCCTGCTTTTGGGAGGGGGGGCGGGTGGGGAGGGGCGCGCGGATCATGGCATTGGAGTTCCCGGGCTTGCAGCCGCCGCCGCCGCCTCTTCCACGCAGCCCGAGCGCCCCTACTTCCCCGAGCAGCAGCGGAGAAGGCGAAGCGGCCGGCGGGGGCGAGGCAGATGGGGCTCAAGGCTCGCAGGCCGGCGGGGGCGGCTGGCGGCGGCGGCGACGGGGGCGGCGGAGGCGGCGGGGCCGCTAACCCGGCCGGAGGGGACGCGGCGGCGGCCGGCGACGAGGAGCGGAAAGTGGGGCTAGCGCCGGGCGACGTGGAGCAAGTCACCTTGGCGCTGGGAGCCGGAGCTGACAAAGACGGGACCCTGCTGCTGGAGGGCGGCGGCCGCGACGAGGGGCAGCGGAGGACCCCGCAGGGCATCGGGCTCCTGGCCAAGACGCCCCTGAGCCGCCCGGTCAAGAGGAACAACGCCAAGTACAGACGCATCCAAACTTTGATCTACGACGCCCTCGAGAGACCGCGGGGCTGGGCGCTGCTCTACCACGCGCTCGTGTGAGTACCGGGCCTCTCCGGGAGCCCCTCGGAGGCGGTGCGTGAGGTGGGGCGGGGGCGGGGGGATTCGGGGTGCGGGCTGGAGCTGAGGATGGCTCTGGGGCTTCCTAGTCCAGGGGCGCCCGTCCACCGAATTGGAGAGCAGCCTGCCCTCTGCTGTGTATGCCTGTGTGTCTGTGGACCACTCTCAGGGTGTTGGACACCTGGGAGTTGAACCCCAGGGCTTAAAAAAAATCCAAGCGTGGCTCCTCAGCTGATTTGGAGATCGAATTGGCACTTCTGTGTGCGAGCGCGGGTGCGCGTTTGTGGCAGCATCTCCGGATGTTGGTAGCCAAGCTTAAAAGAATTCGGTGGTTTTTCTAATTAACGAGGAGGTTGAACGGGATAAAGCGGATCCTCCCATGCGCGCTGTGTTTCTGCTTGGGGTGGGTCCCTTCTACTTGGGATCGCCGCTGAGTTTAGGTGATACATCCTGCAGTTGGGGATGGGAGTGGTACACTGCCCACAGTGGGGTGTGTGTGTGTGTGTGTGTGTGTGAGTGTGAGCGCGGCTATCGATTGCTTGCTTGTGCCACCCTTTTTCGGGCTCCATTCTGGTGTGGAAAGGAACGTGGTTTGCTCCATTTGGGGACTGGGGCTAGCCAAAATGCATTTTTTGGGGTTCTCTTTAGGGAAGTTAATGAGAGAGAGGGATGAGGGGAAAGACTATGATTCTCCGGCTGTAAGCCTGGAATGAGGGGTGGGGGCTTCACCTTGCCCGTAGATGAGGGCCAGGGATCATTTTGGCTGAAACATCTCCATAATTTGGTCTTATCATCCCCTCCACCTCAGCTCCTTCCCGGCCTCTTGCTGCGGCCGGGCCAGGGCAGAGGGAGAGTGAAGGGGCCTGGGCTGAAGCTTTGCCGCCAGGCCCCCCTCCCCTGGAAAGAGTCTGTTTCTGGCCAGGATGTAAATGCGTGGTGGGCAGGAAGATGGAACTTCTTTTGCGCCCAATGCTCTGGATAGAAAATCCTGCTGTGTTTAGGGAGGGGAGGATGATAGTGATGGCCTCTTTCCCAAGAGGGGAAGCCAGGGTTGTCAACATGCACCCCCCCGCCCGCCCCACCCCCCGCCGGGCTGGCAGGGCACTTCCAGGTACCCCTTGCTTCCTGTCTGTGGCTTAGTCATTCTGATGCCTGCTCCTTAGGAAGCTGTACCATTACCAGGGGTTTGGCGGGGAAATGACCAAGACCTTGACCCTTCTGCCTGTGCTTTTAGCAGTGAATATTCCTCCCTGTCCTTCTCCAATTGACCGACGACTGATGGGTGGAAAGGGAGCCTTGGAGTTAAACACTACCTGCCAATCTTCCTTGGCTGGAAAGGCAGTTCCAGATTTGGCCACCAGGTGGGGGCCTCTGCACAGGACCTCAGGCTTGGCAACAGGTTTCATCTGAGAGGTTCCTGAAGCCTTGCAACGGTGCCTGCTTGAAACTGAGGCCCCAAAGGCATCCAACCAGGAATATGGGTTGTTGTTTTTTGGGGGGAGGGGCGGGGGAATCTATCCTTTGGCATCCAGGTCTGCGTGTATTTGCAGGTGTTAGTGGCTGGAGAGAAGGGTTAGCAATTGCTCTTCTGTTTGCTTTTATCAGTTGATAAAAAGGGATTAAAATATATTCTTCTCTGTCTCTAGTGCTGTATTTAGTCAAATTGAACTGATGGTAATACTGGAATATGCGAAAATAAGTCATACAGATTACTTGAGTGCACACAAGCATACACGGCCTCACACATCCTTTTGACATCAGTGGTGTCCTGTGCATATTGGCCGACTTCTGAACCTGGGGTTCCACTGGAGTTTGTGGGCTCCCTCTTCCTTCAGCTTTCCCAGCCAGCACTCTTACCCCATCTGGGACATTCTGGGGAGGGGATAGCTAAGGCCCGATTTTGTCCTTCTCTACAATTATGCCATCACTTGGAAGCAGGTTTGGGAATGCCTGTGTGTAACCTCAGTTTCCCAGAGAGGATCTAGGAAAATTTTACATTATGTTAGAAAGAAGAATTGCATACCTAGCGAGGTACTTTTGCACATGCAAATTATTTATTTCATTTAATTCTTGCTGCAGTTTCATGACGTGGGAATTGTTACCTGTATTTGATGGTTGAGAATATGGAAACCAAAACAGAGAGAACCACTTGTCCAGGGTCATGTGGTAGACTTTCTGGAGCTCACATTTGAATGCTGGGGGTCATCTCTTGTTTCTAAGCTGGGATCCCAGTTATGACCCTCTGCCAACAGTTTTGGGACTCTGGGTATTTCACAAGGCATCCCTGGGTGCTCCTTGCCCCCTTGGTAACAGAGGACTCTGTCATTTCTCTGCCTCCCCTTCCTAGCTCACAGTTGGCAAATGGCTGGAAATGGATCTGGAATCAAAGCAGGGGCTGCTCAAAACCCAGGGAACCGCAGTGTTGGGGAGACAGAATGTGGCCTGTGTCGTGCCAGGGTTGGGATTCTGATTAATCGGGCATTCCACAGGAAAACCCTGTCGGATTGGGTTTAGGCTTCTGACACTTGAATTTCAGCTCATTAGCGGAGGCACTGTACATCCTTCCTCCTGCTAGGAGCAAGCCCAGTCAAGTGAACAAAACCGAACCTTTCATTGATGATTCAGGATTTTACAAGGTACTGAAATGCATGCTTTAAAGCAGCCATTATCTTATTCTGGGCTGTGGTTAATGGCTCAAGAGAGCCAGGAAATTGGGCTGATGGTGGTCTCACAGGTTAGTGCATGCTTTAAAAAAAAACAAAAAAAACCAAAATGAACCAGACTCATGAGATGTGATTTCTTGCTTCTTTCCTAAAGGCAAAATATAGCAAACGTGAACATCGAAGGCCCCCCACCCCCACCCCACCGCCCCTGCTTCCCTTGTCTTAAATGCCCATCCCTTGCTTTCTCCTGGCTACTTGCTTTCATCCTGGCTGAGTTCTTGGATCACCTCCTCTGGGAAGTTTCTCCCTGACCCTCCATCTGGTTAGAATGGCCCATCCTTGGCAGCATCCTCAAGCAGAGGATTCTGCACTGGACTGATCTGCTTGCTCATCTCCCCCCATGGACTGAGAGCTCCTTCGAGGAGGAACTGCATTGTTCCTTAGCAACCTCAGGCCCCAACAGGCTTACTGGGCTCCTGGTGGATACCCAGTAAGCATTTGCTGAATGAATGAGTGAAAGAATACTCTCAGGTTCACCAAGACTTTGTTCTGCATGGTGTGTATTCCTGTCTTCACAACAGTAATAAGTGTTCAGCGTCGTGGAAGGTTAGTGATGAGAATAGCTCTCAGAAGTTCTAAGATGGACAAGGGGTAAGGGAAAAGGTCAGAGACTACACTCTGAGCTCAGCAAGGCTGATCTCCTTTCTGTATCTTAAGCTGCATGGCTGAAAAGGATTCTAATATTGTAGAAAATGGGCTGGACCTGAAGTTCATCTCTGGGCTCTGCCTTCGGTCTCTGACTTTGCATGAGCCAGGTTGGGCAAGACCCGTAAATTGGGGATGATCACGCTGCCCCATCACCAGGTGGGTTTTTAGGCTAAAGAAAGTAGGGTCTGTGAAAGAAATGAACCTAATAGTAGCCATGAAGCATTTACTAGTTAATTCTGAAAGAGTCTCCTTACAAGTCATACCCTTCTGCCACTGTGGCTGTCTGGGGACTCCCACTTCCGGGCCTGTTAGTGGGAAGTTGCTGGCTTCATCTTGGCATATTCCTGGATTGGCACCGTACAGTCATCCTGCTGTCCCAACTGCCTCTCCAGGACCAGTGGGGGTGATCAGTCGCTCACCTGATGACAGACCAAGGGGAAGTGCTCACAAGAGAGGCACCCTGATTGCATTCTGAGATGGTTTGGCACCAAGGCTGAGAGGTGGGGCTCACGGACCCAGCAGCTGCTCTGGAAGGTAAAGAAGGGCCTGGCCGGTGGACTTAGTGTATTGACTAAAGGGTCTGCAGTCCTCAAGGTGGAGGAGAGATGCTGGCCTCTCGCCAAGACCCCTCACTAATAAGACAGAGTCTTCACAAGTCTTTGAAGTGAGAGAAACTTAATTTCCCAAACTTGCTTTGCCTCTTATAGCTGGTGTGGTCTTGAGACAGTTGCTGGATCTCTGAATGTCAGTTTGTCCATCTAAAAAATGTGATCAGTACAGACTCTTATGGAGCTAAGAGCACCTCACATAGAAGAAATGCTCAGTAATAGATCGTTTGTGTTATTGACGTTACTCAGTCAATATAAATGCCTTCTCTGTGCCTAGCGTTCTTCTAGACATTGGGATTATAACAGTAAACAAAATCCAGCATAACAAAACAGTCTAATCTCTGCCCCTATAGAACATACAGTCTAATAATATATTAGTAATATTTCAATGTAATTTATAATAATGTTAGTATTAGCAGCTGTCTCAGAGCTTGGCCATCTGGTCAACCTCCCATCCCAGATAGAAGGAGTCCCTTCAACAGCATCTCCACCAATGCTACAACTTACTAATTCATTACTGACGGGACATTGTTCTTCTTTTCTAGATAATGCTGGATTCAGTTCTCTCAACTATTCTGTTTCTCTGGCTCTGTTCATCCCATTCTCCTTTTTCTGCCTCCATGTATCTCATTCTTTCTCATTCCCCACAAGGTGTTGGTCTTTTTAACCACCTCAGTTCATCCTCACTGTTTTCCTTACCCTATTAATGTCCTCTCTGCATTTTCTGCTTCAGTTTTGTCAGTTTCTTTCTCGTTGAGAACCAAAGATTTTGAGTTCTCATTCTTTCTTAAAATTTTTTTATTTTATTGTGATAAGAACACTTAACATGAAATCTGCCTTCTTAACGAATATGTAAGTGTGCAACACGTTGTTGTTGACTGTAGGTACAGCGTTGTGCAGCTGATATCTCCTCTTGCTTAACTGACCCTTAATGCCTGTTGGCTGGTCACCCTCTGTGCCCCGCTCCCTCCGGCTCCTAGTAGCCACCATACCACCCTT